AATGGAACCCTCACACAGCAATTACCTGTTATCAGATTTATACCTCCACCAGCCTTCAGCTTCTTCCCTCCTGTTGCATCCTCTTCCCTCCTCTCATCCAAGGTTAACCACTCTACATGGGCTTTAGATACCCTCTCAGGTTTACATAACCAATTACCTTTTCTCTCCTGTTTATTCAATCAACGTTTTCTTTTCAACCAGATCTTTCCCATCAACACTTCAATATCCTCAAGTCTTACCTTTAACCTCACAGGTCTCTACCTCATACCTAGTTTCTTTTTCCCATTCTTTAACTTTTGGCAATGACTGCTTTGGGCAATGCTGATCTTCTCCCTGAAATCCTCCTTACTGTGGCCTCTACAACACTCCTCTCCCTCCTGCTGTGCCTCCCTTCTCTATGCAGGCTGCTCCTCCTCTATCGGTTCTTTAGGGTTTGAGCTCCTCAAAGCTTAAATCTAGACCTACTTTTTATTTCACTGTATATCAGCAGTCCAAAAGCCCAACTACCCATAGAGCAGCGGTTCTCAATCTGTGGGTCGCGACCCCTTTGGGGGTCAAACGACCCTTTCACAGGGGTCGCCTAAGACCATCAGAAAACACATATATAATTACATATTGTTTTTGTAATTAATCACTATGCTTTAATTATGTTCAATTTGTAACAATGAAACTACATCCTGCATATCAGATATTTACATTACGATTCATGACAGTAGTAAAATTACAGTTATGAAGTAGCAACGAAAATAATTTTATGGTTGGGGGTCACCACAACATGAGGAACTGTATTAAGGGGTCGCGGCATTAGGAAGGTTGAGAACCACTGATGTAGAGGCAAGCAAGGAATACAATTAAGTGAAGCAAATTTGACTCTCACTTCCCTCTCAACACACAGCAGAAGAGCAGGATAACTGGCAACGGACCTTTGGAAGCAGGTAAGGTGACAATAGGGAAAGGTACAGACTATAATAAAATGGAGAGCAGATGCTCCTACTGAGACAATGGTCATTTAGAACAAGCCAGAAGTCCCGAATTATAGATGAAAACTCACAATTTTTAAATCTTGGCAACTGCATCAATTAAGATTTCTTTCTGATACAAATAAAAGAAATCTTGGTTTCATCCAAAGGAGAATGCATTAGCTCTTGTAACTGAAAAGCTCAGGAGTACAGCTGCCACTGGGTTTAATCAATGTGATCAGGACCAGTTTCTCTATCTGGATTCCACTTCTCCTTTGTCATCTCTATTCTCAAATATGCTCTACCCTACGACAGTAAGGCAGTTGCTCACCTCCAGACCTCATCCTGCCAGGTTTTAACAGAAAACAGGAAAGATCCTCTTCCTGGAGCTCCCTCACAGTCTCAAAATTCCCTCTGATTTGGGCCAACTTGAACGAACCATTTGTTGCTAGGCTACTTGGGGGATGATTGGCCAACCCTGGGTCACACACTGCATTAATCTAAAGCACAAGGTCTGCCCTAGCTGGTTTGGCACAGTGGGTAAGAGCGTTAGCCTGCAGACTGAAGGGACCCAGGTTAGATTCTGGTCAAGGACACATGCCTGGGTTGCAGGCTCAATTACCAGTAGCGGGTGTGCAGGAGGCAGCCAATCAGTGATTCTCTCTCATCATTGATGTTTCTATCTCTCTCCTCCCTTACTCTCTAAAATCAATAAAAATATATTTTTAAAAAATTCATGGACTCAATAAAAATATATTAAGATTAGAGGATAGGAAAGTTCTTAAAAGGAAATTAGGGTGCTGCTATCAAAAAGAGAAAATATATTCAGGGTTGCCAAAAAAAACCATAAATATGCTACAGCAACTTGCTCAAATATTTTAAAAACACTACACAGGCCAAATAAGACAGGTTTTCTGACTGAAAGGGCTTGTCAACCTCCAGTTTCAATCCTTTCTCTATTTGTTTCCTAGGTGATCTCATCCAAGATGAGCCTTCATTTACCATCTCTATACCCCAAATGCCACATTTTTATCTCTGACTCACAAATTCAACTGCCTACTCAACATCTTCACTTGGATGCCTCAAACTCATCTCAAATTCAACTTGTCCTAAATGAAATTAATGATCTTCTCACCCTCCATCTGCTCCCCCACTCAAAGCTGGCCTTCCTTGGAGTTCCTTTTGGGGTGGGGTAGTAAGAGGAGACAAAATCAACATGACTGAGGTATTGTTTGAAAAGAAAAAAACCTTGCAGGAAGTTCATTGTAAGACTCCACTGAAATTCTTTGTCTACTTAAAATATTCAAGAAAGACACTTGATATCTTAATTCATCTAAATTTGCAATTTCCATTTTCCACCTTTTCCCAATGAATTTTTATAGTAATAAAGTTTCATCATAACAAATAAATGCAGAAAGATTGTCAGTGGACTTCCAAAGATGCTTTTGCTTGCTTAATTTGTTAATGCAGATGTCATGTTCTATCAAACATATTATCTGGTTTGATCCTGACAACAACCCATTAAATCTAAGAAATCACTGATTGTAAGATGCAACATTATTTTATGAACCAGTGGGGGGGAAAAACACCACAAATTGAAAAATAACATATAATGCACTGTAAAACAGATCTGGTTTTCAGATATATTAAAATGTAAAGTAACAAAAAGTATGTCTTAGAGAAATAGTAGCATAAGGCTCACTTTTCAGATAAAGAACCAGAGGCTCAGAGACTTGTCCAATCCTATATAATAAAAGGCTAGGTGGCATCACGCCCTCGCGCAACATCGCCACAAGATGGCCTCCCGCACAGCGAAGGCAGGGCCCGGCAGCCACTCCGCGCAGTGAGGCCTGGGGGTCCAGTGGCTCCGCGCCGCGGTGTGGAGGAGGCTGGTCCTGGAATCTCTTCCGCCTGGCGTGGAGGAGGTGGGTCATGGCAGGGGAGGGGAGTTGTGGGCGATCAGGCCAGTAGGGGAGGGCAATTGGGGGCCATCAGGCCAGGAGGGGAGGGTAGTTGGGGGTGATCAGGCCAGCAGGGGAGGGAAGTTGTGGGTAATCAGGCCAGCGGAGGAGGGCAGTTGTGGGAGATCAGGCCTGCAGGGGAGGGCAGTTGTGGGAGATCAGGCCTGCAGGGGAGGGCAGTTGGGGGTCATCAGGCCGGCAGGGGAGGGCAGTTACTGGCTATCAGGCCAGCAGGGGAGGGCAGTTGTGGGAGATCAGGCCAGCAAGGGAGGGCAGTTGGGGGCAATCGGGTTGGCAGGAGAGGGCAGTTGGGGCCAATCAGACTGGGAGGGGAGGGTAGTTGAGGGAGATCAGGCCAGCAGGGGAGCGGTTAGGGGGTGATCAGACTGGCAGGCAGAAGTGGTTAGGGGCAATCAGGCAGGCAGGCAGGCAGGGGAGTGGTTAGGACCCAGCAGTCCCGGATTGTGAGAGAGATGTCCGACTGCGTTAGGCCCAAACCAGCAGTCAGACATCCCCCAGGGGTCTGGGATTGCGAGAGTGTCCAGGCCAGGTTGAGGGACACTCCGCACCTCCCCCCCCCCCCTGTCACGAATTTTGTGCACTGGGCCTCTAGTTAATTAATAATTAATTGTCCTGGCCAGGTGATTCAGTTGATTGGAGTGTTGTCCTGTACGCAAAGGGGCTGTAGGTTCAATTCCTGGTCAGAGCACATACCTAGGTTGCGGGTTCAATTCCAGTCGTGATGGGTACGAGAGACAGCTGATCGATGTTTCTCTCTTTCTCTTCCTCTCTCTTTCTCTCTCTCTCTCTCTCTCTGTCTCTCTTTCTCCTTTCCTCTCTCAAAACATATCCTCAGGTGAAGATTTAAAAAGTTAACAATAATAATTAAATGATAACTACTAAGTTAAAGAATGGACTCGAACCCATGAGGATCAGTTTCCTAACCCATCTTCCCCCCGTCTAGCCCTTGGGTTTGAATGGTCTCTAGAGTTTCTTCTGGGGCTCCAAGAGCCTTTCTCAGACAAAGTTAGTGAAAGAATATCAGAACTGAGTCAACTCAGCAAATGCTTTTAAATTGACATGGATTCTAAAGACAGAATAATTTAGAACTTGACTTTTCTCTAACTCCTAGACAGCTTAGGAAATACTGCCAGCATAAATTGCAATACATGCCATTATGTAAGAAAAAGATTACTTCATTAATTTCACTGCTAACTCAGCAAGGCTCCCACAAAACCTTACAGTTTGCTATTAATTTTAAATATGATTTACAAGACAATTTTCACTTGTGAAGTGGTACTAGTGGGCATCTAGTCAAGCTAAAACTTTCATTCTTTTATAATCAAGTGTACCTTGATTATAAAATTTGATGATTTTTTTCTGTCCTTGTGTCTAAAATACCCATTTGGAAAGAGGCCATGCTATACCTAATCACCATATAAATTAATGCAAAGTAAATGTGTAAGCCTAACAGTTCTAATCAGTTTGTGCAAAAAGCCTTTTGATTTCAACACCAAACATTAAAAAGAAATTTTGTGGCAAAAGCCAAGAAATTTGGTGTGTGGGATATGAATATGATAGAATAGGCTTAATTCATGACAAAGTTTTAAATTTAAATCTTATTGTTTTACAGTTGGTATTCCCCACAGCACCTAGAGCAGTGTCTTAAACATATAAACACCTAATAAGTACACATGATGATATACAATCAGAAAAACAATGTTCCCTCTGTTTTCATAAATGTTCCTTCTTCATGGCCTGTGCTGGCTTTGCAAGCGGAAACAATTTAGCAAATTCTTCGTGGTGCCTACTGTGAGTCTATTTTTGTGCCAACAGGTACATCAGATGTAATACTGGAAGTTCTCAAGGAGCTGACAGGCTAACCAGTAGGAACAAACATAAAAGATATGCAGGTGGTAGATTACCTTCAAGTATGCTTAATAACTGAGCATATTGAAATGCTTTTTTGAATAATCATAAAAGCAACATCTAATCAAGAATATATAACAATCTTGAATTTGTATGCACTTAACATGACTAATTATGAAGAGAAATTAATTAATTCATATTCACAGTAAAATATTTGTAACATACTTTTATTAGGACCTGACCCGTCAAACAGACAAAAAGAGAGGAAAGATATGTAAGAGATGAAGAGCTAATTTAGGAAACCTGGTCCAGTATAGGTACATGGAAGCCTGCGTGTGAATAGAAAATGCATATCCTTTTTAAGCACACATTGACAACTTTAGCAAAGCAAGTCTCAACACATTTTAAGTAATGTATAGTAAACAAACCATCTTTTCTATCCACAAGGTGATTACATTGGAAATAAACATACCCTTAAATGTATTGCAGATTTAAGATAAAGTCAATAAAAATTACAAAATATGAACAACTATGAAAGAACTACATAACAAAACTTGTGGGATACATTACTTGGAGGTAAAAATGTTTTTAATTTTATTTTATTGTTTAAAGTATTGCAAATAGTAGTAGATATGTCTCCTTTTTAAATATGATGCCCAAGAAGCACCCGAAGTAGAATTAAGAGAGCTGGTGTAGCCAGTTGTTAGATGTGACCTTGGGCAAGTCACTCCTCTGAACTTGTTTTCTTAATTATTACTTACTCATCCATCAGGGCTACTGCAAAAGAAATTAAGGCAGGGAAAATATTTTATAAACCTTAAAGCACTATACAATATAAGGTATCATTTAAGGATACTAGTAAAATTTCCTGTGGCCCAGATCATTGCAATGACTTTTTTGGGGGAAGGGGACTATTTAAGATGAAGTCAAGAGGGTTCTTTCTAAAATACAAACCCAACCGATCATGCATTCCCAGGTTTAAAGACTCCTTCTTGCCAAAGGATAAATTCTCCAGCGTTTAGCTTTGTGGATAATGCTCTTCAAAAACTGGCACCTTGCAGACCCATCTCTGGCTTTCCTTTTCAAAGACCACAGCAAATGCACAACTGACCCCTCATCACACTCTCTTCCACACTTCTTTGCCTTTGCTATTTTGGTGGAATTTCTGGCTGTGATTATCACACCACATCCAGGACTCCTTGGCTGCTACTATAGCACCATCCACGCCATCGGGAGGCTCTGACCAGCTCTGGGCAAGGAGGGCCAATGCCTTATTCTTCCCCATACCTCGTACAAAGTCCAACATGCAGCACTCAGTAAATGTTCCTTGAGTGACAGGCAAGGGAGGCCCACATTTGCATATCATAAAAAGATGGTGCCAAGGAGAGACTCTCAAGGGAACGTTGTCAATTGAAAAAGGCTTAGAGGCCCTAATAAAAACACTACAGGTTCACATCTCTTTCCAAATGCCCCAAGGCCAGATGTGTTTTGAAATTCAAAAATGTTGACATTTTAGAAAGGTAATATATGCCTTATGTTCCCAGTAGAGTATCTCAGCACTCCATACCCAAACACAGTAATACTTCTGCAGCAATATGAATAACCACACTAAATGAGATAAATGAAGAATATAAACAGATTCTGATTCGTTCAAGTCAGATTTCGCCACTAAATAGGTTATGAGAGCTTTCAGAGCCTTTGGATTCAGGTAGTAGATCCATACCACCTGATTTGCATACACAGCTCTTTCAGATCCATTTTCTCTTTTGCTCAGATATTCCCTATAGCAGGATCAACCTATATTTAGGCAACAAATAAAAGTGGCCACATACCTAAACAGCAGCAGATAGGCTATAAAATACTCTGAGAAGAAGGGGTTCAAAGGTACATACAAATGGTCATCACCACTGGTAAGTGTTGCAGCCTCTTAGAGCAAGAAAAAAATCTCGGGATCCAGCATCGAAGGACCAGGTGAGAAAAGCAGCAATACACAGAGCAGAAAATGACTGCATGAATGACTGTGTAAATCAATCCATCAATAAATACTATTAGGAAAGCCTATCGCTGATTTCTAAATGGCTCTCCAACAGGGGAACGTGGAAGAAATACTAATATACCAATACAATAGCATTCATATGCCAAAATCAAGCTTCCCCAGATCAATCCAGCTTGCTCTCCATATCAAAATGGAAATAGCAGTGTATGCTATCTGCTTTCCAGGACTTCAGGGTAGAACAGAATAATTATTTTTTGCAAAAATTATATAGATATAGACATATATTCTTTTAAAATATATAGTATAGAAAGACTCCCATGCAATGCCTCATGTGGAACACTTCTTTTAGAACCAAATGTTAGCAGAAGTAAAACTTTCCCTGAGAAACTGGTAAGTGCTTTCCTTTCTAAAAAGAAGTATGCACTACATCTAAGAAGAGTAGGTGTATGCATAATCTCATTTCCAATGAATCCTAACACCCTGACATCCATTTTGTGTTTATCTATGAATCAAAAAGTTCTTATTTCAGGTCTAAGGAGAATTCTGCCTTATAAGACTTAGAACAGGCACCTCTTGATTCTGTCACACACCAGAGGCCAATAATAACAGCAATAGCTACTGTTTAACCATCTGAGTCCTCACTACATACAAGGCAGGGAGTTGAGCACGCTGAAGGCTTCAATTGATATTCACTTTAATGAAAGAATGTACTTTGCATCTCTCAGATGATTAGTGACTTTGAGCATGTTTTCATATGTTTCTGGGCCTTCTGTATATCCTCTTTCGAAAAGAGGTCCGTTGCCCATTTTTTGATTGGGTTGTTTATCTTCCTTTTGTTAAGTTGTATGAGTTGTAAATGTTGGAGATTAAACCCTTATCGGAGATAACATTGACAAATAAGTTCTCCCACGCAGTGGGCTTTCTTGTTGTTTTGTTGATGGTTTCTTTTGCTGTGCAGAAGCTTTTTATTTTGAGGTAGTTCCATTTGTATATTTTCTCTTTAGTTTCCATTGCCCTAGGAGCTGTATCGGTGAAGATATTGCTTTGGCATATGTCTGAGATTTTGCTGCCTGTGGATTCCTCTAAGATTTTTATGGTTTCCCTTCTTACATTTAAATCCTTTATCCATTTTGAGTTTATTTTTGTGTATGGTATAAGTTGGTGGTCTAGTTTCATTTTTTTGCATGTATCTGTCCAATTTTTCCAACAGCATTTATTGAAGAGACTGACTCCATTGTATGCTCTTGCCTCCTTTGTCAAATATTAATTGAGCATAATGGCTTGGATTGATTTCTGGGTTCTCTATTCTATTCCATTGATCTATATGTCTGTTCTTCCAAGAGATGCAAATCAAAATGACAATGAGGTACCATCTCACCATACAAGTCCTTTGGCTATCATCAACAAATCAACAAATGACAAGTGCTGGCGAGGATGCAGAGAAAAAGGAAACCTTGTGCACTGCTGGTGGGAACGCAGACTGGTGCAGCCACTGTGGAGAACAGTATGGAGTTTCCTCAAAAAACTAAAAATGGAACTCCCATTTGACCCACTGATCCCACTTCTAGGAGTATATCCCAAGAAACTAAAAACACTAATCAGAAAGGATAAATGCACCCCTATGTTCATAGCCGCACAATTTACAATAGCTAAGATCCTAAGTGCCCATCAGCAGATGAGTGGATTAAAAAACTGTGGTAATTCTGCACAATGGAATACTATGCTGCTGTAAAAAGGAAGGATCTCCTACCATTTGCAACAGCATGGATGGAGCTGAAGAGTATTATGCTAAGCAAAATAAGTCAGCCAGAGAAAGATAAACATCATATGATCTCACTCATTTGTGGAATATAATGAACAACATAAACTGATGAACAAAAACAGATCCAGAGACAGAGAAGCATCTATCAGACCATCAAACCTCAGAGGGAAGGTAGGGGCGGGTGGGGGTAAGGGGGAGAGATCAACCAAAGGACTTGTATGCATGCATATAAGCATAACCAATAGACACAGACACCAGGGGGCTGAAGGTATGAGCGGGATGGGGGGGGGCGTGCTGGGAGGGCGGGGGTAAGAGGGAGATAAGGACACATATGTAATACCTTAATCAATAAAGAAAAAATTTTTAAAAAGAATGTACTTTGGTGTTATCGACCCATTTTACACATAAAAAACTAAATCTTTCAATAAAGATCTCAGAGCTTTTAAGAAGGAAAGCCAAATGACTAGTGTGTCAGCCCTGGCCAGTTACTTGGTTTCTACTCTTTAATAAAATGGTAAAGCTTATTATCAATAGCCCCCACTTCCATCCTCCATGATAGATATTTTTCAGTAAGCATGTAGCTGAAACAACTCTCTCACCCACATATAAAGTCTTTCTCATGTTGTCTGGCTGGTGTGGCTAGTTATTTGGAACATTGTCCCATACACCAAACGGTAGCAGGTTTGATTCCGGTCACATACCTAGGTTGCAGGTTTAATCCCCATGTCAGGGCATGTGTGGGAGGGAACCAATCAATGTTCTCTCTCAGGTGTCTGTCTTTCTCTCTCCCTCCCTCTCCCTTCTTCCCTCCCTCCCTTCCTCTCTCTAAATAAGAGACTTTATTTAAAAATTAAATAAAGTATTTCCCATATATCCCAGCTAAAAATGTGTTCTCATTCTCTTTCCTGTTTCACTCTCCCCCTTCCTTGCTTCTCAGAAATTCTCCTTGAATGTGCCGCACCTACCCACCCATTCATTCATCCCTTTTGGGCACTGATTGTATACCAGGAACCATGCTGAAGATACAAACTGTAAAAAGTCATAGTTCCATCATTCAAATGTTCATTCTAGACATGCAAGCATGAGTATGATAGGGATATACAGCATAGAAATAGCACAGATCAATTCTGCCTTAGGGTGGAAGTTCAATGGTCACAGAGGCTTCAAGGAGGTAGTGACCCTTGACTGATTCTGAAGAATAATTGCAAAAATACAAGATGAACAAGGAGGAGAAGGGCATCTTAAGGACAAAAAAGTGACAATGAATGATGCTACCAGAATACCTCATGTGATTCAGACTAAAGTGGGTCCTCGGGTTACGTGGGATCGGAATTCCTACCGTGCGGCATAACACGATTTTCGCCATAAGTCAGAACGCACCTACATAAGCACCTACGTCACTCACATGGAGCACATACGCAGCAGTAATGAAGTGAAATAGTAAAAAAAATTAAAAGAAAGATAAAAATTCATAATAAAAAACATAAAGCACATATGTACATAGGTCGAAATGACTGAACATATATATATATATATATATATATATATATATATATATATATATAGGAGATGGTGATGTAACCACAAAATGACTTAGGTCAGTCTGACGTAACCCGAGGACCGTCTGTACTAGCAGTATCCAATGACAATGGGGAAATAAAGCTGGGAAAGAAGATGGAACTGGCCAGGTTGAGAATCAAAAATGAACATGTCCCAGTCCCAAAAGTCCAGTCTTCTGGGCCTGTCTGACTACAGCACCCAAGAGAACATAGCACCCTGCCCTACAGGAAAGGGAAAATGGAGAACATGGAACAGCCAAATGGACAAAGGAAGCCGAAGTGCTCATCAACTTACCAGGAGAGCCTGGCCCCCTCTTGGCAACAAGCTTTCAGCACCCTTATTATTACCATAAACACTCCAAGAATTAGTCTCTTGTCCTTTCTGAGGTCAGTATTTGCCAATTAATCATGACTCTAAGACAGGGGTGGGCAAACTTTTTGACTTGAGGGCCACAATGGGTTCTTAAACTGGACCGGAGGGCCGGAACAAAAGCATGGATGGAGTGTTTGTGTGAACTAATATAAATTCAAAGTAAACATCATTACATAAAAGGGTACAGTCTTTTTTTTTTTTTTAGTTTTATTCATTTCAAACGGGCCGTAGTTTGCCCACGGCTGCTCTAAGACCTTGAGTTAAAGGCAAGACACTGTGCCATCAAGGGCTCTTCATCCTGAGGTGCATCTCTGAGGGGAAAAATAGGGAAAAAATGCTCGCTGAACTGGGCAAGGGAACAGAACTGGTTTTAAATAGACAGCTTTTAAAGGGAAATAGCGAAACTATAGATCACCAGTTAAAGAGAACTTCAATATTCACCTACACACCAGGGCGCAATAAAGACTGATAGAGTGACCGTGTTCTTATCTGTTGTTCCTGGGCCTTTAAAGCAGTAATCCCCGTGCTTTCTGAAATTGCCATAGCCTGTCTTCACTTGATTCATGGACTCCCATCTCTTCTTTAAAAGAAACAACAAGTCCTGTTGCTATATAACAAGTCCTTTTGCTATATGTTCTTTATTTTTAATTCAGTAGATTTATGAGAATTACCTTATGAAAATTTTCTGGCACCTTTCAAAATTACTACATACATCCTGATTTCCTATGCAAATGCAGAGTGAAAAATCATGAGTCCAAAGATTCACCCCTCCAAAAGACCAAGATGCTAGAGAAAGGACAGTGAGTTTCAACACAAATATAATCTCCTCCAAGTGGAAATTTGGCTGGACCAGACAGAAAATATGGTACACTTCAAAATTACTTATCCATCCATACAAATAATATTGCTAAATTCAGTAAATATTATTTATAGAGCTATAAACTTTTCTATTAATTTTATAAGACAAATTCATTGCTAGGTTCTCCCCTTGTGCCGAACCAATAAAAACTTTACTTACTATAAAGCAGGGAAACAACTTCAAGAAGAAAACAACTTTAAATGGAAAGTTAAATTATAAAATAAAAAAATATCAAAAATTTTAAAGCTCTAGAAAATCACCACTAGCTGAGGAATCAACAGATCAGAGTTAAGAGTCCTGTGTTTACTACAGTTTCATGGTAGAACTGTACAGCCTAAATTTCCTTATTTGTAAAATGGAATAGATAGAAAGCACATAGAGAGAAGACAAAAGAGTTGATTGTATACCTAAGTCCCTTTCCAACTAAAGAATGAAATAAACAATGGTACCATGCAGTTCCAAGAAAAAGTGGAGAGTGGAAAAAATACAGTGGTAAAGATAGAAAGACATACACTAGTGTTCAGAATGTTTGAAAAGACAGAAAGGGGTAGAAAAAATAGAGGCTTAAAATATACAACCTAAAGAAAATCGAGGAAAATAGGCCAACTAAAGGCAAATCATTTTGAACAAGTTCATCTTAGTGAACATATTCTATTCTGTGGAGAAGGATTGTGGAGCACTGGTCCCAACGACAACCACCACACCAGAATTATCCTCTGTCCAGTCTTCAGGAAGGTTGGCGGTGATTATCACCATCATCTTACATGTATCTACACTGAGGAGAAAGATTAAGAAATCATTTGTCCTCCTTATACTCTCAGTTCTGGGGTTGTGACTTGCCTTGAGCACCCCGACACCTGAAATCTAAACCGATCTTAAAACAAACAAACAAAAAAAACTAGATCTGACTTTCACTCATCGCTCTCTGTCTTCAGACCACTTAACAGAGTTACATCATCTTAAAACTTACCCACTGACTAATAATTTTACAGAAGGATTGGATATAAAAAGAAACACAGGTACTTTTTACCTGTGCATGAACAGCTATCCAAGAGAAATATGATATTTCAGGTACTTCACCCACCAAGATTCAATTGTCATCACATGGCTGGGTCCCTCTGAGCAACAGCATCCACTAGTGGTGGGGAGGACTTTAGTGGAAAAGAAAGCACTGATGAATAGATTTCTTCATGTAAAACCCTCCATATTTCACAAAGTTATCAAATAAACCCTCACATATACCCCAAAAGGTTAGTGCTATTAGGCTCACCTTACAGTTCAGTCTAGCAGAAATGAAAAAATATAGATTTCCAAGGGCTAAAAAGTTCAAAATTACTAGAAATGCTTCCTGAAAATTGAATATCTCTACATGGATAAATGCCTTTGGGGTTCCATTCCAACTATGTTAGCTTTCTCTTGCCTCGATCACACTAAGTGGTACATGAACTGCTGCTTCCCACCAAGCATACGTGCCATCATTCTGAAGAAATCCCTCCTATTCAAATAATACAGAAAACAAAAAATGAGTACCTACTGTATAGGTTACACTGGAAGGGTTTGAAATTAAATTAGAAAAATATCCTGCTATTAAACAGCCTAGAGCAGGGGTGGGCAAACTTTTTGACTCGAGGGCCACAATGGGTTCTTAAACTGGACCGGAGGGCCGGAACAAAAGCATGGATGGAGTGTTTGTGTGAACTAATATAAATTCAAAGTAAACATCATTACATAAAAGGGTACGGTCTTTTTTTTTTTTTTTAAGTTTTATTCATTTCAAACGAGCCGGATCCAGCCCTCGGGCCGTAGTTTGCCCACGGCTGGCCTAGAGTCTACTTGGGAAGATATCTAAAAATGGCACTCCATCATCCAATTGTATAAGCTAGAAACCAAGGAGTAGTCCCTGATACCTCCATCTTTCTCACCCTGTACTTCTAGGCCATCACCACATCCAGTAATATTATGTCTACCTTTCTCAACATCCACCCATCTCTCCATGCTTACCTCTCTTGATCAGGTGATCATCATTTATTCCTGAACTACAGCAAAAACTTCTATACTGGTCCATCCACATCTCCTCTTGGATCCCTATAATCCATTCATCTCTCTCTCTCTCTCTCTCTCTCTCTCTCTCTCTCTCTCTAACTGCAACCATCTCGTTAATCTGATCACTTCAAACCCATGCTTAGAAGCCCTCATGACTCTTTGGAAAAGACTGTCTCATACCCTTTATTCTACACTCTCAGTCACAGAGGCCTTCTGTCCCTTACTCATACTGTGGCCTCCTCCACCACAGGGACTTTGTACATTCTGTCACCTCTGTAATGTCATCCCCTCCCTCTTTAACTCCTACTCATCCTTCATATTGCTGCTCACCATCACTTCCTGAGGAAGGCCACCTTGATTTCCTTAACTAGGCCAAATCCCCTCAAATATTTCTCTCTCCCATATACACTTACAACAGTTGTCATTTAACATTTTATGCAAGTATTTTTGTGTACAGATTTTTTTTAATTCTATAAAAGCAAAAACCTTGCCACCTTTTTCTCACCGTGGTAATTGGTTACACATAGTAGTCACTTTTTGTTGAATGAATGAAAAGACAGAGATAAGATCAATACAAAGCAAAATGAAAAAGATGCCCTGACAAAGATGCAGGTAAATGACCCCTGCAGGATTTTAAACCAGACCTCTTGCCTTTATAAGGGGTCTCCCCTGGCAATTTCTCCAGGCCTCTTCACCCCAACATAGCACTGTGACATGGTGCCCATTCGAGGAAGGAAAGGGGAACTATCTGTATCTGTCCCTTCTCTTCTCCAAAGCCCAGAGATGAAATAAAAGAGGAAGAAGTGAAGCTCCACATAGAAGGAGCTTGGCCCTGTCTATTTGCTGTCAGTAGAAAGAGGACAAGGCGGGTCTGCTAAAACTCGCAAACCTACTGAAACAATTGTCCCAGGTAAAACTGCTTTTAAGAACCCCCTGACAAATACCATATCATCTCTATGGAAGCCTTTTCAGGATGTAGGTCAGCACCCTTAAACGAAGACAACTGTTTCCCTCTCCTTTCAGTATCATCAGAGGGCTATCTCCTTCAAAATCCATTTCTTCTGGAAATCTGCTATGATGAATTTCCCCACTACTCACCTAAACGGAGCATATTTAAAAAGCAGGGGCTGCCCACAGTGCTATACTTCCTTCTAAGAAATGTCTGATCTTCCCATACTCAGCGTCGCAGGAGTAGCCCCAGGTGCTGCCCAGCCCCTCGGTTGCTCACTGCCTCAGCAGAGCATGGTGTGGCCGTCAAGGGCCCGACCCAGAGTCAAAATGATGGGCTGTGGACCCTGAGAACAAGAGACAACTAGTGTGCACCTTAATTTCTGTAAAACAGGGAGAATGATAGCACCTAATCAATAGAGTTGAAAGACCCATAGAAAGGTGTTAGCACTGACACACCACATGTGCATAATTAATTTCATATTAAAGAAGCCTCAAGTATTCACTGCAGCGAGCTCCTTATTCTCAATCCAAGAGGCTTATACAAAATAAAATAAACTTCATAGGAAACTTCTCAGAAAAAAGAACCTTAGACCTTTGTACCTTAAGATAACAGCGCCCTACAGGGAGACGGTGTTTACTGTAGCTCTGCCAGAGACGCCGTGGGATCATGACCTACATCCTAGTTACACATCCAGGAACTAGTTGTTAGTTACACCCGCTCAAAAAATAAGGATGTGGGCGGCCCTCTACTCCTCCTTTCACAATGTATAGCTTGTGTTTACTCAGTGCCCTGTAAAACTCACAAGACAAAGCACTATTTATAAGTGTCTTTTTTGGGGGGAGGTGGGGGGTGGCAGGAGGTGAATTCAGACAGCCACCAGCGAAGTCCAAATCTGAGGTGTACAAACCGCACATGTGTAAGGTTACTATGATCCTATAATCTGCCGAGAAAACAGGTAAGGTGGCCACATCGGGTATTCACAGTCTTTGGGGAACATGAACTGCTCCTTAGTAACACCTGGCTCTTCACTCTGGCTCTAGAACCCTATATAGGAAAATAAATGTGGTAAGAAAATGAATACCTACCAGGGGAGGTTTTCATTAAAATATCCTCACACTTAATTTCAAGCGCCTCATTTTATCCAGGGAAAACTGAATGTGAATGAAATAAAATTCTAATCTGTATAGGAAATGACTTGGTTATCTGGTTACCCACAACCTAGGGCTTTGCCCTGATGACCAACTCCAGAAGTATTACTGTGTAGGATATAAGGTGCTAAGAATAAATATCAAATGAGGAAATCATGCTACTGTGCTGTCTCAAGAGAAGTCCTGAGGCTTCTTTGCTCTGGCTTTGAGCCCAAAAAAATAGGTTGCGGCTTCTGCTTTCTGTGTGCTCAGCTTCTAGACGACATTCCCAATCTCAGTGGAGAGGGCCAGCTTGTTGGGGGGTCTGTCAGCCAGGAAAGGTGAGGACAAGCCTCTGCAATGGTCACATGTATTTTGGGGTCTCTCCCAGACTCCACATCTCAGGGGCAGCATTTCAGAATGCCCCAAGGTCTATCTGAAAGCAATCTGCCCAGGGCATTCTTTTCAAGGATAATTTCTGAAGGTCTGTATTAGACACCAGAAAACTAATGGGTAATTTTCTTTTTAAGATCATGAATGAATGAATATTGAAGAATTCAGCAATATTCTGGCCCTACTGGTCAGATTTTATACAGGTACCCAGCTGGGAAAGAGACTATTTACCACACAGGATATAGTTTCCAACAGTGACAATACCTGGTATTCAATACATTTTTAGAGTATTGCCTGGGTGGCTGCTTGCCAGCCAGGAGGTAAAAAGAACAGACAGTGTAAGAAGACCTATAGGTCAGACAATGAGCCCAGGCAGGACACAGAAAGACTAAATTGTTTCCAAACAGTAGGGCCCCAGGACTTGTCTTTGGGAAGAATGCGTGCACCAAAGCCTGACTCTGAGCACTCCTCCCCCATCAGAGCTCCAGCGGGCAGACGGCCACCCAGTTCCTGAGGGTCAATAATAGGGCAGGGTGGAAGCCAGACCTTCACCACCTGCGCATGTTTTTCTGTCTGCAACTGGTATGTAATTCCTCTAAGACTTGTCAGAGGTGAGGAAGGGTGGGGAAAAGGCACTAGTGGCCCTCAGGTAAGAGAGCTAGGTTTCACCCCTAAATCATGCTTTCTTTCTCTTCCTAAATCTCTCACTTTTCATCTGTAAAGTGGAATACTCACAACAGTAAGTACCTCACCTCCTAGGTTACTGCAACGATTAAAAGATAATAGAAAAAGAAAGGTTTTCATGCAGGGCCTTCTGTTTCCCTGCTAATGTCTTCACACTTCACCCAGGAAAGGAAGGTCCATCCCTTTACAGGCATGCCTAATAAGTAATGTTTTTATTTTGAAGTCACCCATGAAGCACCCTCTTTATTTACCGCACGGGGTTCTGAGATCTTCTGCGTTTCTCAAAAATCAAATACAGGCTTCAAAGTGCATTTTGAAACCAACTAAAAATATCCAGAACAATCTACTCAAAGCAATTCCAAGAATGTTTTCAGCAATACTTTTGGAGTTGGTCTACAATCTTCCAGAGTGACTTCCATAAAAGGCAAGCACATTTGTAGGCTAAATGCTTTTCAGCTTTCAGGTGATCACACAGCTTTACAATCCCCTGGACCACACCCAAGTCTCCTGTCAGAGGGGCTCTCCAGGAATTATGTTTGAGAAGCAATCATGTATCATTGACAGGTGACTCTCATCACTACAGATTTCAAAAAATTTTCATAGCCAGCCAGTGGTTGAGTGTCAACCTATGAAGCAGGAACTCACAGTTCCATTCCCCGTCAGGGCACATGCCCAGATTGCAGGCTTGATCCCCAGTGCGGGGCATGCAGGAGGCAGATGATCAATTATTCTCTCTCATCATTGATGTTTCTATTTTTCTCTCCCTCTTCATTCCTTTCTGAAATCAATAAAAATATATTTTAAAAAACTTTCCATAGATGTTTTCATGAAACTCTCAGTTTTCAAAATTAAAACAAACAACACAATTGAAAACTAGGCAGGAGACTTGAACAGGCACTTCACAGAAGAGGATATCCAAATGCCAACATACACATGCAAAGATGCTAAGCTTCAAATGGTGATGAGAGACACAAAGGAAAACCACACCTCTGTACAAACACAGGAATAGCCACAATTTTTACATGATTTAAGCTAAATATGAGCAAGATTGTGGAGTGATGGCACTCTCAGCCACACCAGATGGGAACATAAACTGGAATGGCCGTATTGGAACACTGTGTGGCTGTATCTAGTAAAGCTGAACATATTCACATCGCAGGACGCAACAACTACACCCACATACACACACACACCAGAACCACATACCTATGCGAACCGAAAGACATATGTACATGCGTGTTCACACCAGCATTATTCATAAAAGCCAAAAGCTGGAAACAACTCAAATGGCCCTAACCAATAATTGCGGTATGTTTATACAATGAAATAGAATCCAGCTACTGCTGCTGGCACACTATGGATGGGTCTCACAATATAGAGAGAAAGTCATTAGAGATAAAAGAATACAAAAGTATGAATGTGTTTCTATAAAACTTAGAAGTAGGCCAAGTGATCTATAGTGTTAGAAGTCAGGACATGTAGCTACCATGGAGAAGGAAGCAACCGAAGGGGCAGGCCCAAGGGGAGATTCTGGGGTACTGGCAGCTCTCTTTCTTCATCTGTGTTAAGAATAGGTGTGTTCATGGAATGGAAATTCACTAAAGTGTACACACATAATTTGTGTTTCTGTATGTATGTTAAACTTAGAAAACATCATCCTATATAATAAAAGGCTAAAATGCAAATTGACCAAACGGTGGAATGACTGGTTGCTATGATGCACACTGACCATCAGGGGGCAGATGCTCAATGCAGGAGCTGCCCCCTGGTGGTCAGTGCACTCCCACAGGGGGAGTGCTGCTCAGCCAGAAGCTGGGCTCACGGCTGGTGAGCACAGCAGCGGTGGCAAGAGCCTCGGCTGTCCAACTGCTGGACATCCCCTGAGGGCTCCCGGACTTCGAGAGGACACAGGCCAGGCTAAGGGACCCCCCCCCCCCCCGCTCCAAGTGCATGACTTTCGTGCACCAGGTCTCTAGTTTTTTATAAAAGCAAATCTAGATGCCTTGTCCTGTGCAAAGCCAATCAGGGCAAACCAATTCAACTGCCCATTGGATAAATGTATTTAAGCAGCCAGGCCTAGTATGAAGAACAAGGGACACCAGGTCATGCTCTCTCACCCATGCTTGCCCCCTACTCTGTCCCTTGTGAGCCCATGATTCTCACAGATTGAGACTCTATACTACTCCCATGTATAAAAAATAGTTGAATAATAATGAGATGCAATCTCGCTCAAATGGGATACAATGACAACATTCTGTAGACCACCAATTGGTATTCCAATATTGGTTCCTAGGACATTACTGCATACCCTAGCAGATGGAGTTGGGAAGCAGGGAGAACCTAAGGAGACTTAGGGAGATTGTGCAGAGCTTTAATAAGTTAGTTCCAAGAGTTTTAGGGGCCAGCAGCATAAGTTCTTTATAAAATTGCAACTCAAACAGGAGTTTTATACTTTTCATTCTCACAGCTTTATCACTAGAGCTGCTCTGTAATAAACTTTCCATCATAAATAGAGCGCTTTTCAGCTCACATTTGGAAATAATACTCTTCATTTTGAAAGCATCACATTTCCTTTACCTTTACTCTCAGTTTCACTTTCATTCTGCTTTAAGCTTCTCCCTGTCTTCATGCAACTTGCAAGTCCTCAGTATGTATCTCTCTAGGTGTCTTTCTTAAGTCTGACTCTGGGTCCCAAGTTAGGGATTAGGCCTATTTAGGCAAGACAGTGCTTGGAGTAACAGGTGTGACCTTGCAGTCTCGGGGCTCCTTCAGAGCTTTGGGCCCAGCACCGGCAACCTCATCATTCCTTGAAGCAGAACAAAATTCAGAATCTCAGGCCCCACCTCAGACCCAACGAATAAGAATCTGTGCCTCAACAGGATGCACAGGTGACTCATTTGTTCATGAAGTCACACAGCCTGTCACCTGGCAAACTCAGAGGCCCTGGGCCAGAGGGAACAGCCTTACCCAGAGTTCATTCTAAACAGCCTCTGTGGCCTTGGCTAGATAGCTCAATTAGTTAGAGCATCATCCCCAAGCGCCAAGGTTGTGGGTTCGATCTCCATCAGGGTACATACAAGAAGCAACCAATGAATGCACAGATAAGTGGAACAAGTCCATGCTTCTTTCTCTCTAAATCAATAAATTAAAAAATTAGATAAATAAATAGCCCCTGTGTGAATGACCTGTCTCACCCCTAGCCTGGGCCCATATGAATGAGCTATGATGCTCTACATATTTCTTGATTTTTCCAAACTCAGAGTCACGTTTTTCTGGAACTTGGAAGTGGGCAGAATGGAGGCAGAGGACAAAAGAGGTGAAAAGAAGGGAAGATGGAAAGGCATATCTGATCCCATTTCTCCATAACTCAGAAAATCCAGTG